TGCTGCTGTTGCTGCTTTGCCGCTGCAGCATAATATTCATACATCAAAGCAGCAGCGTCGCGCGCTGCAGCGGTTGCTGAAAGCTGACAGCCGCAGCAGCAGCAGCAGCAGCAGCAGCAGAAGCAGCAGCGAAGAGCTGTGTAGTGCTCCTGCAGATTATGCAGCAGCAGAAGCAGCACTCCAAGCGGCATCGCCAGTAGCTGCAGGATCAGCAGCAGCAGCAGCAACAGCAACAGCAGCAGCAACAACAGCAGCAACAGCAGCAGCAGCAACAGCAGCAGAAGTAGCTTTGTGCTGCAGCAAGGCTGCAGTAGAGTTGGCTGTGGGGCCCTTCGTCATCGACTTGGCGTTTGAAAGAGAAAAAATAGCAATAGAAATTGATGGAGAGGCTCACAGCTACCTAAACCCTAAACCCCAAACCCTAAACCCTAAACCCCAAACCCTAAACCCTAAACCCCAAACCCTAAACCCTAAACGGCTTCTCACGACTAAAACACTGTTAAAGCGGCGAATACTGCAGCAGCAAGGCTGGTTGCTGCTGCAGCTGCAGCAGCAACATTGGAAGCAATCGCAGCTAGAGGCGCTGCTGCCGCTGCTGCGCCAGGCCCTTGCAGCAAGACAGCAGCAGCAGCAGCAACAGCAGCAGCAACAGCCAGGAAGCTGCAGCAAGGAAAGACCTTCTGTTACGTATTCAGGTGTATAGGCATATCAAGCTGTATATACACCGCAGCAGCAGCACAGCCGCACAAAGAGAAGTAATATACAGAAGCAGAAAAAAAATCTATCAGGGTGCTGCTGCTGCTGCTGCTTTTGCTGCTGCAGTAGAGATTGCTGCTGTCGTTGCTGCTGCCAGTGTTCCTGCCGCTGCTGCTGGTGTAGCTTCTGTTGCTGTTGCTGCTGCTGCTGCTGCTGTTGCTCTTGTTGCTGCTGCTGCTGTTTCTGCTGCCGCTGCTGAAGAGAATTTCGCTTCTCTCGGGCTGGTGCTGCCAGCCTCAGCCCCAGCAGCAACAGCAGCAGCAAGAGCGCGCAGCAGCAGCAGCAGCAGCAGCAGGATCAAGACCCCAGGACAGTTGGGGTTTGTTGCTGCTCAGCAGCAGCAGCAGCAGCAGCAGGGGGAGGAAGAGGCGGTGCATCAGCAGCAAAGTAAATAAAGATGCGGCTTTTCTGCTGCAAGCCGCTTGCTGCTAGCGTTTTGCTGCTGCTGAGAGGAGACCCCAAATATATTAAAACAAAACCCTTCCCGTTGCTGCCAGGCAGCACGGGGCAAGGGTAGCTGCTGCTGCTGCTGCTGCTGCTGCTGCTGCTGCTGAGTGAAGCAGCGAAGCGCCTCTTTACCCACTGCTCCAAGTAGGAGACTTTCTCCCAGCTGTTCGCTTCCACTATCTGCAGCAGCAGCAGCAGCAGCAGCAGTAAGAGCAGCAGTATCAGCAGCAGCAGGAGCAGTAGTAGCAGCAGCAGGAACAGTAGCAGCAGCAGTAAGAGTAGCCGCAGCAGCAATAGCAGCAGAAGCCGTAGCAGCAAGAGCATTAGCAGAAGGAGGAGGACGAGCAGCAGTAAGAGCAGCAGCAGCAGCAGCAGCAGCAACGTATCAGCGGCGCCAGCAGCAGCGCGTATAACTTTATAGGGTTGAGTGTCTTTCATTCTCCTTGCAGCTGCTAGGAAGAGTAATGAAGGCATTACTTGCTGCTGGCTGTGTTTCAGGGTTTAGGGTTTAGGGTTTAGGGTTTAGGGTTTAGGGGTGTATGGACATCTGTGAAGCCCTTATCAGCCTGAATTAGACAAAGACGAAGAGGCGGGGGTTGGGGTAGGGGCAGCAGCAAGAAAGGAGAGAGAGATGAAGAAGATGAAGGTCTCAGCTGAGGGAGACAGAGAGGCGCAGCTGCAAGCAGCAGCTGCTGCTGCAGTTGCTGCTGCTGCTGCTGCTGCTCCAGCTGCTGCTGCTCCTGCTCCTGCTGCTGCTTCACGCCGTTCTCAGCCAGAGTCTTCCGCGGGTCCAGCAAACGCCCAGAGGAGTCCAACAAAGTAAAATGCATGCGCTGCTTCTGCTGCTGCTGGTTTTGCTGCTGCTGCTGTTGCTGCTGTTGCTGGTGCTCCTGCTGGTGCTCCTGCTGCTGCTCCTGCTGCTGCTCCTGCTGGTGCTCCTGCTGCTGCTGCTGTTGATGCTCCTGCTGCTGCTGCTGTTGATGCTGCTGCTGCTGTTGATGCTGCTGCTGCTGCTCCTGGTGTAGCTCCTGCTGGTGGTGGTGCTGCTGGGCGTGGACCCCTGCTGCTGCTGCTGCTGCTGCTGCTGCTGCAATCTCTCCTACTGTCTTTTCATTAGAGAAGCGCAGCTTCTTTTCTTCTGTTTCTTTTCCTCGCACCACCAACACCCGCAACTCACCAACTTCGCTGCCCTCCATTCCCTAAACCCTAAACCCTAAACCCTAACCTCTAAACCCTAAACCCTAAACCCTAAACCCTAAACTGTTCACCAACCCTAAACTCTATTCTCTCTACTTTT